GTTCGATGATGACAGTTCGGCCATCGATTTCGTCGAGGTCCACCGTGTGCTCCACAACAGGGTGGTGTAAAGACGGTGAATTGCGCGTGAATTAATTTTAAGTAGACTTGCGCAACATCTATCGCATTGGCCATTTTCCTCATCCACCTGTGCCCGGTGTCAAGAAAGAGTGAAGGAAACCGGAGGCGGGATCGGGTGGAGGGGGCTGGGGCGGCCGGAGCCACTCCTATGCCTGCCGCCACACCTGGTTCGGATCCCGTCTGCATGACAGTGCCCTAAAGGCCTAATTAAGAAGGAACCATTACAGCCTGACTCTCAGTCCACCACTCCACAAAACCAAACACACACACTGGGCTGACCCCGCAGTCCGAGTTTCCCGTCTGTTGGCAGCCTTCCAAACCACGGCTTTTAGCTCATCGTGATTGCTTCAAGCGCGTTTATAGTGAGAAAAAAGTGCTTTGCCCTTGCCCTCACTCTCTCCCTTCTTCAAGCGTCAGACAGAGTTATCATTCCAACATTCAGTCCCGATTTTGGATATATGATGACGAGAGAGAAAGCAACTTTAACCTACACAGGACCGCCTCAGCTATAAGCCCTGAAAACAGCGAACCCACTGGCCTGTCTTTCATCTGCTCATAGATTGTTCCGAGGAGAGTGAAATATGTCATTGGAGAGAACGTCAAAATTTGAAGGACTTGGGCTTGGCCGAAGAGATTATCCATTTTATTCTATTTGTCTTGTGAGACTCATTTAACGGTCGTGGCCACTAAAAGTAAAAAGAGAAGCCAGCCAAAGCTCCAAGATGTCGCTGGGCAGGGGCTACACTTTTTTACGTTCCTGTAAGAATTGGTTGACGAGCTGACTGCATGATCAGGCTCCGCGATTAGACATTTTAGACGTAGAAGCAGTCACCTTTTACAGTATGTAAATTGGAGTGCCTTTTAAAAGTACAATCGGTTGGAGAAGAGCGCCCACTTCGCGCACTTTTAGGAGAGCATAGAATCCGGCCAAAGCCCTTTTGCGTCCATAGTATGCGTCTCATGGTCGGCGATGTTGAAAGTGAGCTCGCCATTGCAGATAACATCGCAGGGACGTCACGTGCCATTCAAACGGGACGTAGAATTGTCCATTCCATAGTAAAATGTTTATGTTCGCTCCAGGAAGTCCGTCCTCTATAGTAGTACAGTGAAGAGCCCCTTCCTGGTAAGCACGAAAATGAGGTCTTTGTCTCCATTATGTTTCCCTAATGCATTGCGTTCGACCATAGAAAACAGTTCACGTGACTTATGAGCCCTAAGCCTGATGACCAGTAGGGCGGGCTAAGCTTCTTCTCATAATTGGTCGCTGTCCTCCTGCTGAGGATTGGCTCCATTGTTGTAATCATGATGACAGTTTTGGCATCAACTGTGCTTCATCAGTTTTTGTATCAGTTTGTCGTTTTTGCATGAGGTTGGATCACACACCTTTCGGAACTTCTTTTTCAGTGTTGGTTCGCTAAATGTTCGTTGTTCATGCGTACTTTCGCCCACTCTCTACTGAAACAGTTTTGCACCATCCCCGTCCCTTAGCTTACAGCGGCTTTCGCCCTCTTGTTCAATACTCTGAGGATATTTGCGAAGCCTTGAGCACTCGGATAATTCGTCTGCCGTATTAAAATACTGCGAGTCTCGATAGCCCTATATTTACCAGAGGTATCTATACAACATACGGGTCACACGTTTTTTTCAAAGTGGCTGCCCAGAAATCGAATATGCGCGTAGTTTAACGACGAGGATTGACACCTGTTCATCACTGTGTGGCCGACTGGAGCACGTCATGGCAAAACAGATTGCCCATAGAAGCAAACAGGCGTTTACAGGAAAATTAGATGTGATCTTGGGAACAGGAAGTATATGGGCCTGCAATTTCGCATTCCTCATCTCATCCATTACCAAAGGCGGTAAAGAAAAGGGTAGACTAGGCAGAAGGGGCGCGGTGAAGGACGCAGATTCCGGGAAAATGCACGCCTAAAATAATTAACAACACTGGAGTTGATCGCTGGGGGTCAAAACTGTCGATATGGTCCCGAACGCAGCCTGCGCTCTTCCAAAGATGAGGACGCTTATCCCAAGACGCTCTTTTATTTCGTCTATCCAGGCGGACTGTCCGTCTAGGTGGATAAAGGTCTCCTCTGGATGGATAACATTGTAAGGATTAATTTATGTACGGTTCGTTGGGCCTGGTGCATAGGAACTAGCATAACATTGTCCATATTCTGTTAAGTAAGCTGTCTGCTATGTAATTTGCTTTCGAATAAGTAATTCTTAGATACAATCCAACGAAAAACTAGAATAAAAATGTCATAGGCTAAACTTTAAGTTATTCGCCCACGTTAGATACTCCTGACCACACAATTTTGTATTACAGGACCGGCGAAATAAGCTTAGATTGCTTTTTAATATATTAATTTATATTTAATTCTAGTTCATTTTCGTTTTATTTCACTTATTGTATGCAGTTTGTTTGACTTTAATTGTTTTACAATACGGTGGGAAGTCATGCAAAATGCCAAAATTTTCGAAAGATTGACACTCACTTGCAAATTGGCATTAACATGCGTACAAAATCTTAAAAATAATAATGACCAACTTCAGGCAAATTCAGTACTCGAAAAGGGTATTAGAAGTTCTATTTTTTTGCTAAGAAAAGTAAAAATTTCTTAATAATGCTCAAATTCCTCAAGAGTTTAAAAGAAGCCATAAATTAGACCAATAACTTTAGACCATATCGCCAGCTCAATAGGCAATTATACTTCTGCCCTCATGTCAAATAACTTTTCCTTGGTTAGAATAGCTTATGCATAATTCCCTTATTGGATTACAATTAGTTTAAGACCATCCTTTAAATTCCGGTATATTTTCGTGCGTCTGAAGTAATTTCGAGTCTTCGTCCAGAAATCCAGATTCTGTTCGACGTTTAAATTGAAACCTTTAAAATAAGATCTGTATTAAACGCATTTATCGAAAAATGTTTTTTTAGATATTAGTTCTTCGGAAAGTGGCCACTTAGGCCATATCTAAAACTTCAACCAACACCAAAACAAATTGTCGAGCAAAAAGAAACGTCCGCAACCGAAGTCTCATAATGCTATTCCTAAGATTAAAAAACTTCCGTTAAAAGGTAACTTCTTAGGCAGTTTAGTTAGACATGCAGCTGACGAACATCTGTGCATTTTAAATTTTCCAAGGTAAAGTCACTGTGAAAATGGATCATTCTTACAAGTTTTGTTTTTAATTCACCTGAAAATAAATCATACAACTTTGGGTGGACTTGGCAGAACTCTTCTACCTCTCTATATTGGAGTAGTTCTCACTATAATTGATTACTGTCAGGCTCCATTCGTAGTTTCCGAATGCAAAAAAGGGTGGCTGAATAGGTACTACCATTTTGATCTAATTGTTACTCTTCCGTCTGTTCCGTTTCTAAATTATGCATAAGCCGAGATTATATCTCATAAAAAGTATATTGCTATATGTTTTAGATTTAATGAGTTTGTTTTTTACTTTCATCTTCGTGATAATATATACCCAGTTTTGGTTACCATCGCAAATCGTTGACGCGGTTAAACAAAAGTAGGCAAAATATGATTTTTACAACTGAAATCGTTCCTCGTTTCTGAAAATAAATGCGATTCTTTAAACTTGGCTTCACTTGCTTTTGCTCAACTTCATAGTACATTTTCCAGTGCTGAGATGAGTGTATTTAAAACTTTTCTTATTTATTTTGGGGTTCTATCAGAGCATAACACCTATAAATAAAAGGTTTTGTTCTACCGCACTTATTAGCGTAGGAAATGTCGTCGATATCAGGCTACTTCCGATATCGCCAAAAGAAATGGTCATAACTAAATCGGCAAATTTCCTTACTAATATGCTTCCTGGGAATAAAGTCGAGTCATAATGGCAAAATAACGTGATAAATCCTATGCTTATCTACCAAATCCAATTTCGACCATGACTTTCTTGCCGTAATGTACTTTGGTATATGGTAGGTCTTTAAGTATATCTTTCAAGCGGTATCTAACTAACCTAAAAACTAAGCCAAAGCGAAAAATAAACCAACTCAATAAACTAAACGATAAACTAAACACTAAATAAAACCGAATTAAAACTACCACAACTAAAAGTACTCACAGGACTAGGGTCTGGGCGAAGCTAACGTGGACTATTTACATAACTTCTACCCTTCGAAGAAACGTATGTCATACGATCGATTAACTTGCAAGAAAAACCTACTTGTCTCCTAGGTTCAGGGATAGATTATTTAAAATTGTACGCCAGCAAGTATCTGTTAAAGATATTGAACGTAGAATGCTGCTTGACTTTATAATAAACTTCAACAAAGTATAGTCATCTGCATTGTAGCGTTTTCTATTCAAGCAAAAAAGACCGGTCTTCTCAACTGAATAAGCGTAATTTAGGAAGACTTCCTTGGCTAAAATGTACGGCATTTTTATTGAAAGAAAGGGGCAAATATTTTGCGTCAAAACCAACCTATCATTATAATGCAAGATTTCGTCATGTACAGCATTTTGGGAATATTGGCTGCCTAATCTTTTCAGTTTCTTCAGAAATTAATTTCTTAAATCGAAATAAATCAGTATTTTCAAGCTCTACAGGCATAGACCGAAATGTAGTGGATATATTCTGCCGAAGTCTGTCGGCCACTACGGGATGACCACGTCTAATGACGACCTGGTGTATCAGAGTCGAAAATGCATAATAAAGGTTGTTAGTGTTTCCCAACGAACTTCTCCAAACAAAGTAGTAAAACTTTATGTCGTTAATTACCATAGTTACAGCGCGGGTACTATCTTCAACTAGGAAGAAATAGGGAAAGCTGAACAGTTTAGCGGATCTAAAAAGAAATCCTTAGAATTTATATGGTATAAAGCTGTTGGCGGAGTATTTACTTGAAATAAATTTATTACTATGTCAGAATTATGGCTGTGTGGCGCAGATAATCTAAATTGTCACCTGAAAGGACACAGCAATAGAAAAGCTCAGTTTAACGTGTAGTTTTTCTTTAATAGTGGATAACTTATTACCAGGATTAAAGATAACGTTAGACATAAGGCTATACTTAGTGTAAGAGTTAAATTCAACTTTGAGTTAATTGTAGGGATCATGGTTACAGGCAAATTTAGCAAGCTGTATCAGGCAGCGGCAGATTACCGACGAAACAAGTGTCTCGGCGTTTAACTACTACCTTTCCTGCCAGCATGGTAATTAACAACATAAAATGTTGGCTGTATCCGATTTGGGAATTTGATGTTTTGATTAACGGTTCATCGTTGAAATTTCATTTTCTATACCTTGCCTGCTGTTTCTAGGCAAACCCATTCAATGCTGGGTGCCACCGGAATTTACTCGTGCTTGGGAAGAGTACACAGAAAATTACTGTTGGGTTTCCAACACCTACTTCCTCCTCCCCAGTGAAGACATTCCGGCCGAAGACCACGAGTTGAAGAGTGCCAAATTTATTGGTTACTATCAGTGGATGTCCATCGTTTTGGCCGGTCAAGCCATGATGTCCTGGGTGCCGCACCTTTTATGGCGGGTGGGCTCCCGTCGGCTACCTTTACTTCTCAAGTCGGCAAAGGAGGCCTCAATCCCGGACAGAGAGCTGCGCCTCAAGGCTGTGTCATGTCTGGTGGCTACACTGGAGGAGCAAGCTGAATCTCAATCCCGTTTCCGGCGTATGAAGTCCTTTGTCAATCGTTGCCTCTGCGGCATAGCTCCCAACTCTCGACTAACAGTCCTCTTCCTCTTTGTACGTATGCTGTTCCTTGCAAACTCTGTTGGTCAGATCTACCTGATGAAATCATTCACTGGCTTCAACAGTACGCTTTTCGGCCTCAATCTCCTCAAGGATTTGACCAAGGGCGAAGACTGGGATAACAGCGGCCACTTCCCGCGCGTCACGTACTGCAACATTAAAGTTCGCGTAATGGGCCAGCCAAGACCAGCCAGGTGAGTCAAGAAATGCGTTTGGTTAACTATTTTTCGCTAAACTAGGTTTCACCCTCTGCTCACATGCCACTGATTCAATATTCAGCAAATTACTCCGTAAAAAGTAACTAAATTTAGACAGTTTTAAACTGAGGCATACTATATAAGCGTCGACATAGTTTGCTCTTACCTACCCCCAATATTATTCGGGACTTTGCCTAATATCCATCACGTAAACATCATACTCCTTGCTATTGATGCATGATATCGACAGTAATTGACCACGTTCTATTTTTTCCTTTTGATAAACTGTATCTCAAATAAGTTTAAAATCGTAACATTTGACAGTGTGAAAATGGAAACTGAACATACAGGGCAGTTAAAGGCAGGGTTGACGAACTAAGTAAATCGAATCAGGTCGCTTTTTACTTAACATCATTGCCTTTGCATTCATTGTGCTCTTTGCGCTCAGAAACAATAAATAATGCTGCAAACATGTAAAATAGGAATACCTAACTGCTGCTGTTCAATGACCTTAACACTAGCACGCATTTCGTTTTCGTCAGGCCTTCTAATGCAAAAAATAACTAGTTCATGCGACAGAGAAGATAAAGAGAAAAAATACTGTGTTCGCCAGGTAAAATTCGACAGTCGTAAAATGCACTATCGGCTAGTGAAAGTATATGTCCACCAAAAGAACATGGTGGCTATTTAAAAATGTTAAACATATTCGTCGTTCAAATAAGTTGCGATTAATTACCACCCGCAAAGGATACTTTTTTTCGTAAAAGCGCTTCTGATGGGGAATCTCTCACTGAGGTGATGTAAAATAGCATCAGTTTAAGACACCAGGAAGCGGATTATAGTATTCATTTGAAACAAAAACATAATCAAGCGTTTTTGTTTATATTCATTGGCCAACAGAGCGTTTTGACCAGTGTTAACCGTATAGTATTCTAATCTTTCAGCTGTTAAACAACATTACATCTAGTTAGATTTTGCGAATTTTACGAGAAACATAAATATAATTGGGAAATACAGACCAAAAGATCATTGTGATCTTAAATCGTTGGTACGGATACTCATATCGAACAATGAAGTGAAATATTGTTTTAAAAAGCTCTTTTTATTGAATAGTTTAGAGTATGCCCGAAGGATATGCTCAAAAACACTTTTCAAACAATTACTATACTCATTTTCAGCTAGCGAAAATATACAATTTAGTTATCGTTTTCATAATCCCTAAAAAAAGAGGAAGAAGAAGGTACGAGGACATGGACCGATTTATTTTGAGACTGACGTTTCGGACACTCTCTCGGTTCCATCGCCAGTTACTCTGACGATGAGACCGAGAGTGTGTCCGAAACGTCAGTCTCAAAATAAATCGGTCCATGTCCTCGTACCTTCTTCTTCCTCTTCTTTTGGGGATTGTGAAAACGATATGATATCTGGACCTCGAATCTTCACGCATACAATTTAGTTATGTATCTCTCTAAAACCAGAACTAGGATCGAAACATGTAAGATTTATATGAGCAGTTCAGATAAGATCATCTTTGGTCTTGCTCACCATTATTTAGTAAATACAGGCGCATGCAATTTATTTTTCATGCAGGCATTAAAAAGAGACAGTATGTTTTCTAAAGCAACATTTTCCTCACATATTCATTGAGCCAGTGGTGTTGTTATCTCACAGTACCGTTTGCAACACTACCTGAAACCTACTGAAAACCAACAAATACCTTAGCGGAAATTAATTCGCAGCGTAAACTCCTTATTCAAATTAAATTTACAACTAAAATATTTGCGCATGTTTTCCTAGGTCAAATGCATGCGCATATTCAACTAATTGATTTTCATCTTCAAATAATCCATATATTCTTTAAAAACACGTTACCGTTTAAGAGTATAAGACAAGGAGTTTCGAGCGAAATATCTAAGTTTTTAAGCTAGTGCTGCAAAAAAGCTAGTAGTCGCCGAACGTAAGTGCCGTTTCTGACAACCTCTTGTTTCCCGCACAACTGTCAACTGTTCCTTCTTCTTTTTCTGCCACCTCAGTTTATTCACCACTCTCTCTCGCTCTCACCTAGTTTCCATCTCATCACAACCCGCTTCTTACTTGGCTTTGTCTGCATATGTAACTGTGTGAATACCACAGTGGTCGAAGTGACTGCTCTGACCCCCGCGCCAAGTGCTTCTTTCGACGGCAGTATGCGCGTACGGTATTTTCGCAAGCAAACCGTTAGCATTTTAAACTCCGTTTCTTGCGCCAGGGAAGTGTTGAAAGTTAAGAAAGAATAGGATAGATAGTTGCACTATACCACATGAAGACTGGTAAAGTAGGCTGACAGAAAAAGGGTGAGCATTTAAAAATAAAACAAAGATGGTTAAAAAAGACGATTATCTTTTTTTAGCTCAAGAAAGTTTCAAAAAATATTGAGAATTTTTAAGCTGCTTTTTCCTGCAGAGCACACTAAATGGCCACAGATTATGAAATTTGAGAACCGATCTTCACGAGCAGATTAAGATAAAACCATATATGTGTCTGCTTCAATATACATGATATGAGCAACATGCTTAAGTTATAGGTAAAAAAAGACCAGTCTACTCATATAAGTTCAAAATTCCAGTATGCGTGAAACAAGTTCTCTTCTATGGATAAAGTAAAGCTTCTGCTGTATTCATTTTCCCTTATTCAGTCTTTATTTAGTTGTAAAAAGCAAATTTTAGTTCAAAATTTAATTCTACAAGACAATCCCACAAGGGCCGCTTAAATGCAATTATATGAACTGTTTTGTCGGAACATTGTCGATGTTTGAACTCTATGACTAGTCATAATTCCTCTCAACAAGTAGCTTAATAATGACCTCTATGCTGGTCAGAATAGCTTAATTACTATTTTTAAAAGCGCTCCACTGTCAGAATATATTTTAAAGGCATGCGCACAAAGAACGATAATTTATTGCGTCAAAGTAAATGGAGTGAACAAGTTATCCTTCTTGCTCATAAGCGAAATAAAAGTCTATTTCAAGGCCATAGACATTTTTCATCCGAGCTTGGCAACTAAAATTCTTTTCATTTTAAAATAGGATAATGTGCATTCTGCCTTCGTTTGCATTAAGGTTGTTTTAAGGCTAAATAGTAGCTACGAATCTAGAATATATGCAATTCTATATAAGATGGGGTCAGACATGGTCTTCGAATAAGAAATTGTGTTGAGTAAATTTTCGATGTCGTCAGACGAAGGAAGGAGCATTTGTACAAAACGATGGTGCTGTAGCATCGAACGATAAGCAACATTCCCCTGTCTATTTCAGAGCAGCAGGATTCTTCCTTTCCAGAAAAATGTTATCGTTGACCTACCATTCAGTGTAACATAACATAACTTTCAGGTGTAGTTTCCATTATATCACGGCCATTGTCCTACGACGGACTAAAAATTGAAAGGCAAATATTGTATGCCTAAGTTTCTAAAAAATGCGAAATTCTAGAAAATCCGTCTCCAAATTCAGTATTCTGATAACAGACAGAATGCACCTTGTCTACATTTCTTACCTATAACGTAGCAAAAGGATGCATTTTTCTTCAAATAGTATAAACTAGAGTTATCTCCAGGACACCGTTAAGTTGCCATAATGGGCTACAAATGTAAATTATTTTACAGAAAGAGAACTGTCAAACATAGGCTTCAAAATGGTAAAGTATTCATGGAAGTATGGAAGGCCTATCGAGTCAGCATTCACGTATATCAGCCTTCAAGAGGATAGTAGATATGCACTAAGTACTTGACAGTTACTGGGCCAACTATTACTCCGAAAGTTCCTCTTAACACAGTAACTCCGATATTTCTGGGCGACGTCGATGATTTGCTCCGTTGTCATCTAAAGCAGCAGTTGTTCCATTCCCGTATGATATTAGCGAAGCCCATCACTGTACCATAGTTATTCGGAATAGATGAAAACAGGACAATGGCGACGAAATACGCAGAATTTAATTACGTCATTAAATTTCGTGAACTCATATTCAACTGCGTATGGCCATCGTTGATTAATAAGATAGTGCAAACCATCGAATTAAAGGTCGGCCTAGAGGGGTAAAACGTGATAGGTAAATAAAACGCGAACTTTTGGTCTGATACGCAGGCGTGCATGGTGAGTGGGACGGGGGGTGGGGGAGAGGAAAGCTTTCTAAGCCAGCTATTTCAGAGTACAGTCAAAAGTTGTCAAGCCTGATGGAACCTGTAACGCGCGGAAAAGTAGTTATTTTGCGGGAAGGAGTGAGAGTGCATGGGATTGGGGGAGGGAGGGAGAGAATGGGGTTACGTCTTTTATCGATCCTTGCCATGGCAATACGAGGCGCATCACGAGATTAAACTGCTAACATCATTATGCTTTTCCCCTCAGTATTGCAGTGGTCCATACGAAACGCAGGACTTGCTTAAACTACGACATTAAGAGCAGTTTTAAGGTCCACCCTATGGCCACCGTCGATCAGGGGCTTTGTAGCCAAATGTCGTTTAACTTTCCCTTACCATTTTTGGAACCAAAAACAATCTAAATTTTCTGACACGGGAAATCTAAAATTCTTCTACCGTTTTCTAAAATTGGTTTATCCGTGGGATGTTTTATTCGAACATGCCGCGCTTTTAACCGTGGTCCACAATTACCCAATTAACGGAGATACACACTTATATACTAACCGAAAGCTTAAACAACAGATTCGTGGATCGTAGCTGACGTACATTCCAGGACTTTGACTTATCTGTGGCATTCCAGCTTTCTCGCATGGTTCCGGTTTGCACTATAGTTTTGGACCTGTAAACGTTGAGATATCGCTCTCAACTAGCAACCGCTTTAACAGTGTAATAAAACATTGCCTTATAAAAAGTCTCATTTCCTACTTAAGTCTACTTTGGCAAGGTTTCTGGTAATGTTCATGGTAGACTGCGTTTACGGTGAAATATTTTCGAGATAATAAAGAATAAGTATACATTTCACCATCGCAGAATGTGGTGACCTGTAA